GAGCAAAAAAAGGTTTTTTAAATTAAAAGAGCAAGAGAGGAAAAATTAGAAAATGAAATTAAGATGGAACTCATGGCAAATAGCCTCAATATTCTCAATAAAGAAGCAAGTTCTAAGTTGAGAAGATGTGGGAGAGGGAAGTGTGGGAGGCTTGAAAAATGACTTGGAATAGCTTCTTTGGGAGTGAGAAAGACATTTAGTTAGAAAGGAAAAGGACAGCCTTATTCTAGTGAGGTACCAGTTGAGATTACTTAACAAAAACCTGTAGGGTATACAGTCAACCCAGCTGTTCTTCCAGTTCCATTCTGCTGCACTTGAATAGGAGTAGGAGAGGTATATGATTGGAATCATTCAGGAATAGGATTTGGCAAGGGATCAACAGAGACAATATAAAAGGATAAAGGATTCAAGAATAGAGGGCAGTGATAGAATTAAACTAGCTAACTCTAAGGTCATGACTAGAGAAGGTGGAGAGTGAAGTTAGAGAGGAAGAATGGCCTTTGAAAGTAATAAGGCTTGGAGGGGCTGGAGGTCTCAGTGAGGGTGAAGAATAGGTTTAAGAGGGGTGAGGCACAGAGATGGAATGATAAAAGGTTACAGTTAAATAAAAGAAGGCCACAATTTTTAATTAAGGAACCCAAAAAATGTAATTTTATTTCTCCAAGCATCATTAATACAACCTGAAAAATGGAAATAATCCTTGCACTACCACCTCACAGTGTTGTTGTAGGAAAACACAATTACCGAGAACCACAAATTGTAAGGCTGTTCAGGTATTTATTAATCCAGTAAATATTTATTAAGAATTTCAATTAAACAAATACTTATAAAGCATCTATTATATGCAAAGGCATTGTATTAGCATTGGGAGATAGAGATGAAATTATAACTAGCCCCTACTCTCAAGAAACTTTTGTTCTTTTTCGGATATACGATAATTTGAGGAGGGAGAGAGAGCACTGACTACATGGGAAGGCAGAGAATCAAAAAAGGCAGGTGGCACATAGGAAAAAGCACCTGAGTTATGCCTTAAAAGAAGTTAAGGATTCCAAGAGGTGAAAACGAGAAAGTTCATTCTAGGCCAGAGCAAGGAAAGCTTGTGTAAAGGCAAAAAGGCCAAGAGGTGGTATATACAATTATAATGACATTAGGAAACAAGTAGACCATATTGGCTAGATGAAGGAGACTGTAAAAAAGGAAATAATGTGAAATAAGTCTGGGAATGTAGGCTAGAACAACACTATGAAGAATTTTAAATAATATTTATAAAGTGATTTACAGTTATTTCATTTGATTCTCAAAACAAGCCTGGGATGTAGGTACTATTATTATCCACCATTTTACAAATGAGGAAACTGAGGTTGACAGAGGTTAAATGACTTACCTCAGGTTACACACCTAGTGTCTGAGGCTGGATTTGAACTTTGGTCTTCCCAACTTCAGGTCTAGTGCTCTATCCACTGTACCACTTAAATGTCAGGCTGGAATGCTTGTATGAACTTATATGTCAAGTACTGTTGAGAAAACAGGTGAAGCTAACAGAGCAGTGGTCCTGGAGCTAGGAAACCAATCTGACTTTGAATCTCACCTCATATACTAACCAGATAGATGATCAAGGCAAATCATTTCATTCTTCAGAGGCTGTTTTCTATTCAGTAAAATGAAGATGATGATGCCTGCATTCCCTCCTTCACAGGGTTACTGTGAAGAGACAATTTTGCAAATGCAGCTACAAATGTTAGTTATGTGACCTACTCCTTACCCTGAAGGAATCTGAAATCTGGTTGAGTAAACAATTACATAAGCACCATAAAAATTCCAAGTACTACAATAATCTCACTACTTTACATCTATACAGTGCTTTATCATTTAAACACTCTCATATTAAATTAAATCAAATTAAACATTTAATATACAACAACCCTGTGAAGTGGAAAAAGAGCAGAAAGCAAGTCCTCCCAGACATAGTAAAGAGTACTGTCTAACAACATAGAGGTTTAATACTATCTGAAAGAAGTAAAAATGAATGTAAATCATAGAATCTTAGAGTTAGAAGAGATCTTAGATGTCTTTTAGTTTATCCTACACCTGAAAGGGGCAGCTAGGTGGCACAGTGGAGAGAGGTCCCGATCTGGAGTTAGGAAGACCCAAGTTCAAATTCTGATTCAGATACTACCTGTGTGACCCTGGGCAAGTCACTTAACTCTATTTGTCTCAGTTTCATCATCTGTCAAATGAGCTGGAAAAAGAAATTGCAAACCACTCCAGTATCTTTTCCAAGAAAACCCCAAATGGGGTCACAAAGGGTCAGACATGACTGTAATGACTCAACAACATACTTGAAAGAAGTCTCCTCTTATAACATGCCTATAAATTGATTAATCAGGGTCTACTTAAAGACATTCGATGAAAGAAGATCCCCTACTTCCCCCAGCAGTCCATTCTACTTTTGTACAACTCTAATTGTTAGGAATATTTTCTTTACATCAAGCTGGAATTAGCTTCTACAACTTTCAACCACTCCTCTGAGTTCTACAGTTTACTCTGCAAAGCAGATTAAATGTAGTTCTTCCATGTGACATGTATCTTCAAATATCTGAAAGGCCATCCTGTACCTTCTAAATGTCTTCTTCAGGGTACACATTTCCAAATTCCTTCAAGCAATCTTTGCAAGGATTTTGTCTTTAATTACCTCATCAACCCTGCTACCCTCCTCAAGCAGATGGTTGCTTTTGCTGTTGTTCAGTCATGTCTGATTCTTCATGACCATAACACGCTAGGCTTTTTTATCTACTATCTCTCAAAGTCTGTCCAAGTTCACATTCATTGTTTCCAAAAACATTTTCCATAAAACTATCTATTCATCTCATCCTCTGCTGTCTTTTCTTTTTGCCATCAATCTTTTCCAATATCAGGGTCTTTTTCAATGAACCCTGCCTTCTCATTATGTGGCCAAAGTATTTAAGCTTCAGCTTCAGTATTTGACCTTCCAATGAGTTATCTGAATTAATTTCTTTAAGCATTGAGTGATTTGACCTCTTTGCTGTCCAAGGGACTCTCAAAAGTCTTCTCCAGCACCACAATTTGAAAGCACTGATTCTGTGGCATACAGCTTTCCTTATAGTCCAACTGTCACAGCTGCTATACACTGCTACTGGAAAAACCATAACTTTGACTACGTAGACCTTTGTTGGCAAGGTGATGTCTCTACTTTTTAGTATGCTGTCTAAATTTGCCATAGCTTTCCTTCTAAAGAGCAAGTGTCTTTTAATTTTATTGCTGCAGGTGCTGTCTGCAATGATCTTTGAGCCCAGGAATATAAAATCTGACACTACTTCCACTTCTTCTTCATCTATATGCCATGAAGTGATGGGACCAATTGCCAAGATCTTAGGGGGTTTTTTTAACGTTAAGCTTGAAGCCAGCTTTCTTTCTTTTTTTTTTTTTTTTTTTGGTGAGGCAACTGGGGTTCAAGTGCCATGTAGGTCTACAGCCACATCTGAACTCAGGTTCTCCTGACTCCAGGGCCGGTGTTCTATCCACTGCATCACCTAGCCACCCCTTTGAAGCCTTTTGTACCCTCCTTTCACCCTCCTCAAGAGGCTTCTTAATTCCTCTTCACTTTCTGCCATCACAGTGGTATCATCTGCCTAGCTAAGATTGTTCGTATTTCTCCCAGCAACTTAACTCCAGTTTTTGACTCGCTCAAGCCTTGCATTTCACATGATGTACTCTGTATATAAGTTAAATAAATAAGGTGACAATATGCAGCCTTGTTGTAATCCTTTTCCAATCTTAAACCAATCAGTTGTTTCACATTCAGTTCTAACTGTTGCTGGAACCTATTCTATATAGTGGACTTAATTTTCTTCCCTACTGAGTTTCCTTGCATTAGTTTAATCCCACACTGCCCTAGCCTATCAAGATTTTTTTGGATGCCAACTTTGTTAGTTAATATCTTAGCTATCTTAAGAAATGTCTCACTCTCACTTACTTCACATATCCCATCAGTTGCCCAACTTATAAAATCATAGAATCATATATCTAGAGTTGGAAGAGATCTCAGAAACCAGCTAGTCCAGTTTACAGTTGCAGAAACTGGGGCTGAAAGAGGGTAAGTGAATTACCCAAAGTTACACAGGCAGTAAATGGCAGAGCCCAGATTCTAATTCAGTTCCTCTGGCTCCAAAGTCAGAGATCATTCCACTGTACCGCACTGTCTCACCAAATCTTGATTCTATTCCTACATCTCTTGAATTCCTACATCATCTATTCCTCACCACTCACATAGCCACCACCGTAATTCAGGCCCTCTCACCTAGACTACTGAAACAGCTTTCCTACTTGGAGCCTTTCACTTTTTTAAATGAACAAAGCATTTTATTAATCAATCCAGTATGGTTTGTCCTAATGCTTTTTGTTGGCAGCTGCCAACCACATATCCAGCAATTCTATCCAGGTCTCTCTGTCCCTGAGGTGTCAGCTTTTGACCCCTATCCTAATCCTTCTCCACCATCTTGAGTCCCCCATGTTACTCTTGTGGCTTGCAGGCCTCTTGGGGCAACACTTTCAGAGTTTCTGATGAATTGACTGAGCATGACCTTAGTGCATGGTGCCCCCACCATATATTTTACCATGTGCACACACTTGAGGACTTACAGCTTCCTTGATTTTCTAAGAAGGTGGCCAAGGCCCTGACAAACTTCTGTTGGTTCACATCCTTCACTGTGACTCCAGGTTATGACATGGACTCCAAACAACCAATTAAGAGAAAGCAAGCCTCTCTATCTTTGTTGACTTCTTCCTAAGTCTTTCTCCACAGCAACTGTTTCCATTTTTTTTTCCTCTCAAACTCCCAACAAAATCTCAACCCCGCACGCTTACAGCAAATTACTGAGAAAATTGAATTTGACATGAGTTTGTTCAGTATCTCTCTCCTCCACTCTTAACACTTCTCATTGCCCATTTCTCCTTCCCTTGAGTTATTAGAGAAGATGTACCTGTATTACTTCCTAGGAATAATCCTTCTATCCATTTATGTCCTTGATCCATTTCCTTCCTGCTTCCCTGTAGAACCTTGCTCCAGGAATCAACTCTTCAATTTCATAATTCTCCCTCTTCTCCAATGCCTCCTACCGCCTGTTTACAAACTTTCCCAGGTCTCCTCAATCCTTTAAAAAAAAAAAAGGGTCTTCTCTTTATCACTTTTTAAAAATCATAAAGGAATTACAAACAATTTACAAACATGAATATTTAAATATACAAAAGGCTGTATATGAAAGTTTTTTAAAGAGTAAATTATATTTAATGTATCAAGTGTCCTGTTTGTGTCCCCTTCTGAACTCCCCTGTATTCTCTTCTGTACATTTGTAATGTTTCTTTGATGATCTTTTATTTATTTATGTATTTATGGCCAGGCAATGGGGTTGAGTGACTTGCCCAGGGTCACACAGCTAGTAAGTGTTATGTGTCTGAGGCTGGATTTGAACTCAGGTCTTCTTGAATTCAGGGCCAATGCTCTATCTACTGTGCCACCTAGCTGCCCCAGATGATCTTTCATTTTTAAAAAAATATATATATTTATTTATTTTTAGTTTTCAAAATTCACCTCCATAAGATTTTAATTTCCAAATTTTCTCCCCATCTCTCTGCTCCCCACCCCAAGACAGTGCATAATTTGATACAGGCTCTACATATACATTCATATTGAACCTATTTTCACATTAGTCATGTTGTAAAGAAGAATTAGAACCAATGGGAGAAACCAAGAGAAAGAAAAAAAAAAGACAGCAAATAGTACGCTTCAATCTGCACTCCATAGTTCTTTTTCTGGATGTGGACAGCATTTTTCATCACAGATCTTTTGGAGTTGTCTTGGACCCTTGCATTGGTAAGAAGAAATGAGTCTATCAAAGTTAGTCATTGCACATTATGGCTGTTACAGAATACAATGTTCTCCTGGTTCTGCTCACTTCACTCAGCATTAGTTCATAAAAGTCTTTCCAGGTTTTTCTGAAGTCCACTTGCTCATCATTTCTTTTTTTTTTTTAATTTATTTTTAGTTTTCAAAATTCACTTCCATAAGCTTTTGAGTTTTAAATTTTCTCCCCCTCCCTCCCCAAGATGGCGTGCAATCTGATATAGGCTCCACATATACATTCCTATTAAACATATTTTCGCATTAGTCATGCTGTAAAGAAGAATTAGAACAAATAGGAACCACAAGAAAGAATAAACAAACAAAATAGAAGGAAAAAAAAGAGCAAATAGTATGCTTCCATCTGCATTCAGACTCCAAATTTCTTTCTCTGGATGTGGATAGCATTTTCCATCATGAGACTTTTGGAGATGTCTCAGATCCTTGCACTGCTGAGAAAAGATGAGTCTATCAAAGTAAGTCATCATACAACATGGCTATTACTGTGTACAATGTTCTCCTGGTTCTGCTCACTTCACTCAGCATCAGTCCATACAAGTCTTTCCAGGTTTTTCTGCAGTCCACTTGCTCATCATTTCTTATAGCACGCTAGTATTCCATTACATTCATATACTACAACTTGCTCAGCCATCCCCCAACTGATGGGCATCCCCTCCATTTCCAAATGATCTTTTATTTTCATCACTGTTAGAACCCACTCACTCCCCTCCCACAACTCTACTCTCTAAAAATAAAATCCTCCCTTATAACAAATAAGCATGGTCAAACAAATTAAAAAATAAGCACACCAGTGGTGTGATAGTAAATGTTTAACAACCATCTCTCAAAAGAAAAAAAAGTATGCATGTCATACTTTTAGGTGAAATATGCATTATTAACATTTTTCAATTCCTTTAAATTCTAGACCACAGGTGTCAAACACAAGGCCCCAACCAGATTAAAATTTAATTGAGAAATATTCAAATAAAAATGCAACTGAACATAGTTAATGTTAATATGTGGTTTTCTAAGTCAATATTCTGCTGGCAAGGATGCTTATATACTGTTCGGTGGCTCCAATTTTACTTGAGTTTGACACTACTAGTCTAGACAATCAACAAAATAATACATCAACCCCAGATTTGTAGCACTTGTCAATTTCTAAGATATAAATGCCCACACTCAAAATTTGACCATCAATACCAGTTAGCTCTAGCATACCACTGGATGTCTGAAAATAAGTGACTCATTCTCTATCTCTAATCAATCACTCTCTCCTAAGAAGTAAAAAGCATATTCATCATTAGTCTTCTGGAATTATGATTGATAACTGCATTGGGTCACAGCTCTTGAGCCCAAGTGTTTTTCCTTTACATTATTGTAGTTATTGTATGTGCAGCTAGGTGGTGCAGTGGCTAGAGCATTCCTAGAGTCAGGAAGACCTAGGAATCCAGACACTTACTAGCTGTGTGACCCTGGGCAAGTCATTTAACCCTGTTTGCCTCAGTTTCCTTATCCGTAAAATGAGCTGGAGAAGGAAATGGCAAACCATTTCAGTATCTTTACCACAAAAACCCCCAAAAGGGTCACAAAGAGTTGGACACAACTGAAATGACTGTACAACAACAAAATCATTGTATAAACTGTTTTGCTTGTTCTGTTCACTCTTCATCAGTTTATGAGTCTTCCTAGGCTTCTCTGAATCCTTTTGGTCATATTTTATGGCATGCTTCTTTTCTACAATAAAAAAAGTGCTGCTATAAATATTTTTGTACATAAGGGTCCTTTCCTTCTGTCTTTGACTTCTTTGTGATACATGGCACATAATGGTATTGATGGATCAAAGGGAGGGTACAGTTCAGTGATTTTTGGGGTAGAGTTACAAATTGCTTTCCAAACTAGCTGGACCAATTCACAATTCTACCAACAGTGCATCAATTGCACTCTTCCTCCAACAGCCCCTCTTAACATTTTATTCATTTTTGCCAATCTGACAGAAACTTATTAATGACTTGAAATATTTTTTCATGTAGTTGTTGACGGTATTTTCTTCTTTAAAAACTCCTGTTCCTATCATTTGACCATTTGTCTATTGTGGAATGGCTCTTATATATAAATATATCATATATCTATGTAGACTCTGAAAGTATTGCCCAAAGAGTCCTGCATAAATCATATATCTATATGTATGTATGTGTGTGTGTGTCTTTGTGTGTATATATACATATATATATATATCAGCATCACATCAAATTTATTGTACAAATTTCCCCTGTTTAATTCTTTCCTTTCTAATTCCAAACGCATTAATTTCACTTATGCAAAATTTTTTCAATTTTATGGAATCAAAATTGTCCATTTTGGTATACCAAGATAAAGTCAAAATGGGTACACGATTTAGAAATAAAGGCAGGTGCTATAAGCAAACTAGGAGAGCAAGGAATAGTTTACCTGTCAGATTTATGGAGAAGGAAAGAATTTATGACCAAACAAGAGATAGAGAACATTATGAAATGCAAAATGGATGATTTTGATTACATTAAATTGAAAGGTTTTTGCACAAATAAAGCCAATGCAACTAAGATTTAGAAGGAAAGCAGAAAGCTGGGAAATAATTTTTACAGCCAGTGTCTCTGATAAAGGTCTCATTTCTCAAATATATAAAGAACTGAGTAAAATTTATACGAATAGAAGTCATTCCTCAATTGATAAATGGTCAAAGGACATGAACAGGAAGTTTGCAGATAAAGAAATTCAAGCTATAATCATATAAAAAATGTTCTAAATCACTACTGATTAGAGAAATGCAAATCAAAACAACGCTGAGGTACCATATCATACCTATCAGATTGGCTAACATGACAAAACAAGAAAATGATAAATGTTGGAGAAGATTTGGGAAAATTGGAACACTAATGCATTGTTGGTGGAGTTGTGAACTGATCTAACCATTCTGAAGAGCAATTTGGACTTCTGCCCAAAGAGCTATAAAACTGTGCATACCCTTTGACCCAGCAATATCACTTCTAGGTCTGTATCCCAAAGAGATATAAAAATGGGAAAAGGACCCACATGTACAAAAATATTTATAGCAGGTCTTTTTCTGGTGGCCAAGAAGTGGAATTTGAGGGAATGCCCATCAATTAAGGAACGGCTGAACAAGTTGTGGTATATGAATGTAATGGAATACTATTGTGCTATAAAAAGGCAGACTTCAGAAAAACCTGGGAAGACTTATATAAACTGATGCTGAGTAAAGTGAGCAGAACCAGGAGAACACTGTACACAGTAACAGCCACATTGTATGACGACCAACTTTGATAGACTTAGCTCTTCTCAACAATGCAAGGATCTAAGACAACTCCAAAACACTCATGATGGAAAAATGCTATCCACATCCAGAGAAAGAACTTTGGAGTCTGAATGAGGATGGAAGCATATTATTTGCTCTTTTCTCTGTTATTTTGTTTTGTTTTCTTCTTTCTTGTGGTTCCTCCCATTGGTTCTAATTCTTCTTTATAACATGACTAATATGAAAATATGTTTAATAGGAATGTATATGTAGAGCCTCTATCACATTGCACACCATCTTGGGGAGGGGGGAGGGGGAAGGAGAAGAAGAAAATTTAAAACCCAAAATCTTATGAAAGTGAATGTTGAAAACTAAAAATAAATAAATTTTTTAAAAAATGGTCCATTTTGTCTTTTATGACCATCTCTATCGTTTGCTTGGTCAAGAATAATTGCAAAAGGCATATCCTTCCCTTCTTCTTTATGATATTCCTTTTATCTTTAGGTCATGAATCCACCTGGAATCTCTTCATATCCTTTTATAACATCTAGCTATCCTTCCTTTTCCCTTCGATGTCAAACATTTGGAACAGGTTTTCTCCTACTTTCTTACCACTCTGCTAAGTTCCTTGAAATCTGGCTCTCCCACTACTACCATTCTAGTGAAAGTACTCTTTTAAAGGTCAGCAACAGCCTCTATCAGCCTACCCCTTTTTTTACTTCTCTGCAGCATTTAACACTGGGATTCATCACCCCAACCACCCCACCCTTTCATCTCTTGCTTTGTAAGACACAATCCTCTTCTAATTCTCCTCCTACTCCTATCTTTTTGACTACTTCTCTGGCTCCTAAATCACTTAAAACAGGTGATACCCAAAATTCTGTTCTTAGCGCTCTTCTCTCCTTTCTCTACATCTGGCAATAAAACTTACTTCCATGGTTTCAATGGTCACCTTTATACAA